AATAGTAGCACTATCGTCGTATGAAGTAGAGTACATAGCTGATTCTCTTTATGCATGTCAAGCAACATGGATGTTGAACTTGGTCTAAGAGATATCATGGAAAGATCATTGAGCAATTACCATGAAGATCGACAACAAGCATGTCAGCTATCAAACTGGCAAAGAATCAGATAGTATGCATGCATGTTCACACACTTTTTCTTTATCACCTTATGGCCAATAATATCTAAGGTGCTGAAATACTTCTTTAACTTTTTGTATTCATTGTCTAAGCCCAATTATGTCTCACTCCCTTCTTCAATGACTTCATACTCTTCAATGTATACGTTAGTCCATAGCACATTAATGGATACCAATGAAACAAGAACACCTTGTGCTTGAAGATCTGCAATTATTCACGCGCATAAGGTAACCAATGTGTTGTCTTAATAAAGCATCCACATGCAACTTTGTCAGTACCAACTCTTTAACATGTTCTAACTCCTTGGAAATATGTTGTGTACACTGTCTTGAGATGAAGCCATGGAATCTCGAGCAAAATATAGTGTTATATCGATGCTCAATATTGACAATATTTTTTTTAAAATGATGTTCTAATTGTACCTAGTTGCAACTTCAACCTGAAGTTGAATGCATCCTAGCATCTGCATGAATCTCCTCGGCTAGTATGGAACATTATTTTTATTCTCTAATGAGAAGATTCAATCCTATAAAACAACATTGGATAAATATTCAATAAATAAATTGATTAAAATTTACGTAATAATATTAAGCTCATTATGTTATAAAATGTACTTGTCTGTTCTCGTATTCTCTAAGTGAGTAATTTGATTAGACTATGTAACAATATTTTTATTTATAAAGTGTCATCCATGCTTGATGCACATAATCAACAAAGAAATGGATACCGACATATACCCCCTCAAAATTTTGCAAGAGTTTCTAAAACTCAAACATCCTATTTGAATACATGACTTTGTTTTATAGATCCATCACATGCTCTTGCCTATTAGCCTCGTCATACTCCTTGCACTTTGAATCAATATTTTTAAACATAGAATACACATAAGAGATGGAATGAAGATGGAAAAACAACTTCAATGGTGTTCATTAAGACAAGTTCTCGATCAATCACCATGACCTTGGGAAGCAACTTCTCGGATGTGAATAGATCCATTAAATTCTTCAATATCCATGTGAAATTTGACTTCCTTTCATGTTTGAAGTAAGCAAACCCAACAGAGAATGTAAACTTGATCGATATAACACCAACAATCTCAAATAGTGGGAGCCAGTATATATTGGTTGTGTATGTATAGTCAAAGATCAAAATCATATGAAACATATTCAAAAACTTCAACGCATCAGGATGTGTCCAGAATATATCAATAATAACATCATATTCCTCTTAGTTTATGGTCCAACACATGTACTTTTCATCATGAATTAGAGTCAATAAATGTTGCATTACCATGAATGGACCTTTAATAGTATACTACTATATTGATCTTGCCTAATACACTCATTGCATAGTTGTTAGATCACCAACATCCCTATATTTTAATATAATCATTATGAACCTCGGTTTCATGTGGTATTTTGTTATGTAATTCATAAATTTAATTTCTTCGAGTTTTAGACGACCTAATATGTCACGACCGTCTAAATCCTCAACCACGTCGTGACTATGAATATCACGTCTAACCGTTATGTTCTAACCACAACCGTTTGCACATATCTCAACTTAAAGAGGTCATTTAACTCTTCTACTTGATTTATGTTTTTTGTTTGTTCTTATGATTTCCTCCACTCTCACAACCAAGAATCAACTTGTTAGTTATTCCTCTTTTCCTATTTGTTATATCATAATGAACAATAACAACAATAATACAATATTCTCTCCCAACAAATTCTGCTCATTAAAACACTTTGACCTGAGAGAAAAACATATGTCAATTAAAACATAAAATAAATTACTCATAGATTCTATATCTCAATTAAAATTTTCAAAAATTCAAATAAAACATGTAAGTAAAACATACTAAATCAAGGGTGAATAACTTCTTTTGGAGAATCATCCATCTTAGATACATTCATAAAGAGCGGGTAAAAAAAAATAGAACGGTTGGATTATTAAGAGTAAGATAAACGATTCAATATATTATATTTTTAAAAATTTCCACCATATGGCCAAAATATGTATCTGATTTTTCTAAATATCCACTAAAAACTCACATCGAATTTTTAAAAAAATCAATAAAAAATGTTGATTTATAATAAAATTTACCTGATTTTTACTTTATACTACTGAATTTTTTATTTTTTACTTGTCTAATTTTTTTCAAAAAGTATAAAATTTAAAAGAAGAAAATAATAAAACGAGTACTTTTTACATTATCAAAATATAAATGCGTGTCTAATTCTACTTATGTGATTGTTTAAACTCAATGCGATATGTTGATGAGGTCACATTTCCATTTGTGTGTTTGTGGTATATTAAATTATTTATTCACAAAGCAATTATTCATTCATTCATGCATGCAGAAAATTTCATAAGTCTCATTATTTGTCATGTATAATAATTAATTATTATGTATAACTTTAGCATTCAAGCAAACTTCAACCAAGGAAGCTTAATCATTGCTATAGAGAAAAGTAAAATGTTAAAGTAAGCACTAAGCATAGTCAACTAAATTAAAATGAAGTTTTATGCAAAATTACAAATACAAAAATTAAACAGTGGCAACAATATTACATAAAGTTGGCGGATATATATGTTTCTTGGCGCAGATTTGCAGGCATGCATTGTAAATAATTTGAGTTTGGATGATTTAGTGGCTAGTACTGATTAACACTCTTCAATTTGGACTTTACCCAATATTAACCTTATCCTACAAATCCCAAAGAGGAAATTAATCTTGTCTTCATTATTCACTTATTTTTTTTAACTTCACCGTATTAATCACTAATACTCCTTAATTTAGACTTTACACACAGATACGAGACACAATACTGACATAGACATGAGAATGTTATTAATATAAAAAATATAAGACACAAACACGATTATATTTTTTTATATATTAATAAAATAATATAATTTATAAACACTATTTATAAAGAGTTTAAGATGAGAAGCAAAATTTATATTTATTTAAATTTAATACTTTTAATCAAACAAAAAAGGCATAAATCTATCCAAATAAATTGAGTATTTTCGATTAAGAAAAAATATCTAAAGCAAAATTATAAAAATGATATCATATTCACTTTATATTGAAAAAATCAACCTATAAGCCTAACTCTTCCAAAGACAAGTCACTCCAATGTTAGTTTTTTTAAACAATCTTCTTTCATAAGAAAACTTAAGATACCTAAAAACCAAATTCAATATTTTATGAATGAGTTGTTGTTAACATGAGTAACGCAATGCGTATGATTCAATCACTGAAGGCGGAATTGTATTCATGAAACAGAAACATAGAGGAACATAGAAGTATGACAAATAGTAAAGAGAGAAAATGAATCTGTATCACAACAAAAGCGAAAGAGTGGAATATCAGGAATATCGACGGTGAAATAGTGCCTAGTAAAGATAAAAACAAATAGAGAAGATGAAAAAATAAAGAATATTTTTATAGTGGAGAAATGGAATATGAAAGGTCAAAAACATTATTTTTTTAAATAAAATTTTTGAGAATTTGAGTTGGGCCGTGTCCATTATTTAAAATAGTGTATCGAATCTGATTTCGTTAAGTTTCAATTTTTGTTTTTGGTTGGACACTTCAAAAACGTGTCTGAAATAATTCATATGTGTATCTGTGTCGGATACGTGTGCGGGGACACGCCTTCTAATAGTCGTGTCAGAGCTTTGTAGCCAACAACTATATTTTTGAGACCGACCAAACGGTCCAATAAAATCGGTCTAATAAAAAACTCCACCCGCTTGGATTGAAGAACGATTGTATCTTCACTAAGAAGCCGCACATTAAAGTCAAACATCGCGTTTATCTCAATAATTGGAATCCACTAAATAGTATTCCGTACAAGACATCACATTTTCCGCATGCCATTCTAATTGTCGTTCATATATAAGTGCGGCTCCAAGTCACACCAAGATACGATTCACTTTTACAAGCTTACAAGTTTTTTTATCTCTAATTTCAATTACTTTGACATTAGAGTGATAACCTTACAAGTACACTTTCCTCTACGTCAACTAGAGAAGTGTATCTTCGTATCAGAGACCTTTTATAGTAGATTTCACCGACCTACCACTAATTTTCTAGTCACTCCCCTAGTTTAGGTTACTAAATATCTCTATGTGTTAAGAGTTTCACATCAGAAAATATATGGTCTGAATCTATGTTTATAAGTAGGGGCAATCATCACTCAACATGCTAGTTTTATGGGAATGAATTAGACCTAAAAACCACAATTCTTAATAATGGTCTCCAGAGCATTGTTTAAGATACGTTTGATTGATTGTTATCAGATTTTCGCTATCAAATCACCCACTATTTATTTTTCCATTTTAGATTCAAACATTAACATAAATAAATGTATTAAGAATTTCACATTAAACAATATATAACGTAAACATATACTTATAAGTAAGAATAATCCTAACCGTATAACGGAATGAAAATTCTTAACACTAGTCTGTAAATATTAACAAGTTGGTAAAATTTTCATTAATCAAATAAACCTATCCAAGTTGCAAGGAGTGCAACTTGCAAGTACATATCAAGCACACCATACAAGTATTAAAAAATTAAACACTTGAAGACATACGTGCACAAATAAAAAATTATTCTAAAAAGGTATATACTATATATTCCTACAATCATATTTTGCTGAATTCCAAAACTTTACACATATAAATACCGCAACATATCACTAAAGTATATCAATCCAATAATATAACCTCACCTACCAAAACAACAAACAAATCCAAACCCAAATTTTTGTTAGCTAATCAAAAAGCAAAAACAAAAATCATGGCTGGAGCTGAAGCTACTAAATATGCTTCTGCTACAAACAACATAACAAAATCAAAGAAACCAAACATGAGAAGATTCATTGGTGTAAGACAAAGGCCATCAGGCAGATGGGTAGCTGAGATCAAAGACTCATCTCAACATGTAAGATTATGGCTTGGAACTTATGACACACCAGAAGAGGCAGCTCGAGCTTACGACGAAGCCGCTCGAGCTTTACGTGGCGAAAATGCTCGAACCAATTTCGCCGCAGCATCAGAAACCACCACACCAGTTAATGATGATCAAGGACTATTATCATCAGCACAAACAAATGAAGGAAAAAACAACAGTTTAACTTTTGCTTCATTGAAAGCAAAGTTGAGCAAGAATCTTCAAAGTATTATGGCAAGAACCAGTGATCATCATAACAACAGCAACAAGTTTTCAAAGAGTAGAGTGAGTGATCATTTCACCTTTGCTAGCATATTCAACCGGAAGAATAATTACCACCAAATCTCTGCCGTTGATATGAAGAACATTGAAAAAGTGGTGCAGCCTAGCATTATTGTTCCCTCTATTGAATCTTCAAGTGTTTCTGATTCTAGTTCTGAGTGGTTTGGTTTTCAGAATCATGGATTAGACTCCGATGGATCCGAGAATAATAACAATAATAACAATAATAGTAATAATGTCGGCGATCAAGGTTTTTTGGATCAACTCTTGGGTTGGATTGATGATACTTCTGATATTTGTGAAGGTTCAAGTAGCAAGAGGTTTAAGGTATCTTCTTCTGTTCTAGTGCCTCCAACTTTCTCTAGCTGTCCCTATGATTGTGGTTCACCTTATAGTGGTTATGCTTCTCCTTATAATAGTTGTGGCTCTCCTTGTAATGGATATGCATCTCCTTATTATGGTAACAAGAATTAAAATTTTAAATAACATCTAGTTCATCTTTGGATTGACGTTGAAGTAGTGACAGTCATGGTGGTGTTTGGCTTATTTTGACTGATGCCTGCTAAAAATTTGTTATGAGCATCTTTTCAAAAAAGTTAATCAAAAGTATAAACTCTATATGTTATGATGAAGAGATGAAGACTAAGTTCTTATAGCATGTGTATGTACATATAGAACAGAACTTTGGTTTTATATAAGAAAAGTGTTTTAGTTTAATTATGCCAAAGGATATGAATTAATGATATATGAAAGTTTGGCTGAAAAATGAAGTCTCTTTATAAGTTGATTTTATATGTAATGTCTTGGATTAGTTTGAGTTGGTGGAAATTAGTAGAAGAATGTCCATTTATTACACGTGGGGTGTAAATTTGTATTTATTGGTAGTTGGAGAGAATAATATGTGTGGCTAGGTAGGTGCCCCTGTATATGGAAAAAATGTTATGGTGGAATACTATCAAAAGAGGCTGAGTTAAACATTAGGAGATATGATGATATATTTTGAAAAATGAGAAGTGTGTCATGCTGACATTTTTGCATTGTCATAGGAAAATCAGCCAAATACATGGGTTTAATGGTTAAATAAGGAATTATAAGATATTTATAATATTTATAATATTTGAGATATTATAAAATTATAATATTTTTTTTAATAAATAAAAAAATATATTTAATTGAATTTTTTACTATTATAAATATATATCTATTTTATTATTATAGTGTGACAATTTTAGAATTTATTGAATTCATGACCTCGTGAATTTCAAGAAAACCTTACCACTAGACCACTTAATATATTTTGTTATATTTTATATTTAAATATATTTACATATAACAAAGAAATGAAATAAAATTTAGAAAATCACTATAAATTTGATTTATCATGTAATTTTATTATGCACACATAAAAATTATAAAATAAAAATAAAATTCAATTTGATGTAAATATAAATATAAAATGATATTATTTTTATATAAATATATTTTATTGTTAAAACAGTAAAAAAATAAAATTTTTATTAAAAATTAAAAGAGAATTATACATCTTAAAAAAATTGGAAGTGAAATAGTAACATAATAAAGAGTATTAAAAAAAGGAAAAACAAAATATAATTTCGGTCTCTGATTTTTTCATATAATTAAATTTTATTTAAAAACTTTTTTCGTGACCGAATAGGTGGCCACAAAATTTTAGTCGCTAAATCGGTGGTTGATTTGTTTTAGTGACCGATTTAGTGACCAATTTAAAGTTGAATCATGAATATCAAATTTTGGTGGCTAATTCGGTCACTACAGTGACCGAAATTTTTCGATCACTAAATCGGTCATTAAAAGCGAATTTTCTAGTAGTGTCTGTTATATTATATGTGTACGAATTATTATTGTTGTAGACCATTTATTTTGATTGCTATTATTCTTTGTCTCACTAATTGATATTGAATTTTGTTGTAATTCACAACAAGTGGTGCGGTGAGCGTGGAGCAAAGATGATTGTTTACAAGTGAGCACCATGATTAGTAGATGAGATATCGAGAAATTTTCCGGTAACAACGACTTCGGGTTGAGGAAAATTAAGATGCAAGCAATTTTAATTCAAGAGAAGTGTATCAATGCTTTGAAGAGTGAAGCATTGATGTCTGTAGGACTTCATGACTAGAAGACCGAGATGATAGATAAGGCCAAGAGTTCCATTATCTTGTAGCTCAGGGATAAAGTTATAAGAGAAGTCGTCAGGGAGCAAACTGCGGTTGCTATGTGGGCAAAACTTGAATCCTTGTATATGACAAAGTATTTTCCTCACAGATTGTATCTCAAACAACAACTCTATTTATTTCAAATGGTAGAGCACAAATCCATAGTTGAGCAACTTATAGAATTTCACAAGATTATTGATGATCTTGAGAATATTGAAGTGAAGATTAAAAATGAGGATAAGGCTTTGCTCTTATTGAGTTTATTACCCAGATCCTTTGAGCACTTTAAAGATGTTCTTCTTTATGGTAAGGAAGGCACTATTACTTTGGATGAAGTCCAGACGGAGGTGAAATCCAAAGAATTTTCAAAGTTGAAAGATTTGAAGATTGAAGATAGTGGTGAAGGCTTAAATGTGTCAAGAGGAGGAGGTGAGGGTAAAAGGATGTCCAAATCAAAGAGGTCTGACAAGTCAAATGTAAAATGTTTTAATTGTCAGAAAATCAGTCACTTTAAAAGGGATTTTCTTGAGAGAAAAGGCAATGTAGATTCTGCTTAAATTGTAGATTCCTTGGGAGAGGAAAGTTATGAGGATGCTAATACACTAGTAGTATCGAGTTTGGAAATTGAAGATAGTTGGGTCATTGACTCATGTTTCTCTTATCATATGTGTCCAAGAATAGAATACTTTGAAACTTTGAAGATGGTGCAAGGTGAAGTAGTTCGCCTTGGTGATAATAAGGCTTGCAAGGTTCATGGTATTAGTATGATCATATTTAAAATGTTTTATGACCGTGAATTTCTTATTCACAATGTGAGGTATGTTCCAGAACTCAAGTAAAATTTATTATATATAAGTATGTTTGGTGATCTAGGCTATTGTACTAGAGTTGAACATAGAGCGTTGAAGATTTCACGTGATGTATTGATTATTGCTAAAGGGTCTAAAATATGTGGTTTATATATTTTAGAAGGTTTAAATGTTGTTATTCATTCATCATTAATTAGTGGAGGCTTTCATGACAAGGAAGAACTATGAGATTTAGGTTTAAGGCGTTATGAATGCCTTGAGAAAGTTTCAGAGGAGTATAATGAATTTTGAAAAAACTCATGGGATAAAACCATGGGATAACTATGAGATTTGAGTTTTATTGAGTTTTTAGGGAAGAGTTGAGGTTAAAACAATTTACTTGGTTGGTAGAGAATTTCTTCAGAGGGAGAGAGAATAGTGAAAACCAAGGGAGAAACTTGGTAAAAACTATAATGGAGAAAACTCAGTTTGAGATGGAGTTTCCTACTATGGATGCTAGAAATAGTGAGGGATCAGTTACAGAGATCTTTGATTGTCATTTGACTCATGATAAAGTAAGGAGGGTTATTGTAGCATCTCAAATGGACAGTTATGCTAGCCTTGGATATTATGTTTTTAATGTGGTTGAAGAACTGCAAAATAAAAGAAGAAAAACTTTCAGGAAGGCATTTGAAAACAGGCGGAGTCAAGGGTGATTGAAAAATCATACTTGTGGACTTGTTAAATTACCTAAGCATAAAAAGGGTAATTGGAAACAAGTGGATGCAAGTGACAAGATCAAGATTCAAGGGTTGTTTGAATTTGATTAAGGTTATTGATTAGAGTTTCAACCAGGTAAAGAGCAGCAATATTGTTGATAGTTAAATTGGTATCAACACGGTTTAAAGTTAAGATGGAGATTGTTAAAAAATAATCTAGTCCGAGCGATTTACGGGTATCAGGTTCAGTCGATTCAGTTTATTGATCCATTCATTAATGTTAGAATATTTTATATTAATTTGGAGATCATATAAATTAATATAAAAAGATATTATAAGATATTTATAATATTCTAAAGGCAAAAATATACGAGAGGTCGTTTAAGTTATTTGTTTGTAACAAGATCGTCCTTTAAGTTTTTTTTTGCAACAACTTGATCCTTTAAGTTATCAAACGTGTGCACGATTACCCTTTTTTAATAGAGAAAATATGTTAATTGTGGATGTAATTATTTTTAGTGGTATCAAAATGATGAAGTGTAACCAAAAACATAACAATTAACATTTCTAAATATTTAAAATGTGAGAAAAATGAGGTAGAAATCACCTAAAAGACCAAGTTGTTACAAAAAAATATAAAGGACTGTTAAAAAAAATAACTTAAAGGACCCTGGAGTAATTTTATCTGTTGTAAAAAATATTATAAGATATATATTTATAATAACCTAAGAGATATTATAAAATATTTATAATATTTGAGAGATATTATAAGATTATAATAATATTTTTCATTCTAATCATTAAGGAGACATGTTTTAGGATTTGTTATACATTTGTTGGATTTTGACTATTATAAACATGTATCTCTTCTATTATTATTATTATAGCGTGTTTGGAGTTATCTAAAAAAAATTGGATAACTGAAAAACAATCAATTATATTTTGAGTTTGAGTTATTCATATATTGAAGGCTATTATAGGGTTAATTTTTAGGAGTGGGAACCTGACAGCAAAAACTATTTTCTTGTAATTTGTATGTAATCATTTGTAACAATTTTCTGAGTATAGTGAATTAGATAGCTGCTCTCTCTTCTAGAATAGATCGTTTGATCGAACTGAATAAATAAATTTTCATCTTTTTCTCGTCTTATTCTGATGTATGAATTATTATTATTGTAAATCATTTATTTTAATTGCTATTATTCTTTACCTAACAAATTGATATTGAATTTTGTTGTAATTTACAACAAAATTTTTAATACAAAGACGAAAAATAAAAACACGAAAATTTAAAAAAATAAAAAAAATATTTAAACTTTGTTTATTTTATAAACAAAAATATAAATTATTATTATTATTGATTCAAAATATAATGTAAGATTACGTTGATGACTTAATTTATTTTATTTCATCAGAGTTTTTATGTAAAATATTTTATTTTTAAAAGTATATACTTTTTATAATTGAGAATAATAATTTTGTGAACTAATTTTATCAGTGCGTAAACAATAAAGGAGAAGACAAACGTCATTTATTTCCATGGCTATTTAACTTTATTGACTCTCTAGTTATTAATCTAAAAGTAATGTGAAAAATTTAATTCGGATTTCAAACATAATTCTAAAAATTAAATAATATATTCTCTTTGTCACATATAATCATTTTGTTGTATGATTTATACTTATATTGAGACACACTCTTCGATAGTTAGAACTCTTCTCACTTTAAAAAAATTTATTTTATGTTTATAATAGTTTTAAATTTTAAATTGCTCA